AATTTTTTTTGTATCCATGGCAACTATGCATGTGGATGATTTTCAAAAACGGAATAGAAAATTTTGGTGAAAATCTGACTGAAATGAAATGATCAACCAAAATTTTTGCCTTTTAAAGTAAAAAATCACCTTAAAATCCTACTTGGGTGTTAATATGTTTCATTTGGATTTCATTTAGATTTAAATTGCTTGATCTAAACATTGAGAATTATCATCATATTCTGGAAGATCTTTTGTAAAAGGATTAAGTAATCGAGATGTGTAAATAGCTTGTGGATGGGTAGCTATTTGGTAATTTTTAATAGATGAAAGATTTGCCTTTCTATATTCTTCTGCTTTCATAAAATGCATTTGAATATCTTCATATTCCACTATATATATGAGTAGATCCCTTACATATGATCTATGAAATGATGTGATTAATTCTTCCACCTCAAAAATATCAGGTCTATTATTTTTGTCCAAATCCCAACACTTTTTCATTAAATCAATATAAAATCTAGGTGCTTCTGGTTCATTTATATCAGGTCTAACTCCTTTACAAATATCTAATGCAAGAAGATGATCATGTGCACGATTGTAAAAAGGTTGTCTTCCAGTTGCTACAAAATACATTATCATACCTAAACTGTAGATATCTGATTCTTTGGTATAAGGCTTTTTTCTTAATACTTCAGGAGCCACATAAGGTATAACTCCATAAATTTTAGTTTCATCTATATTACACACCTCTCCACATAATCCCATATCTGAAATTGATATACAATCACCAAAAACATTTATATTACTTAAAAATAATATATTTCCTGTATGAAAATCACAATGAACTATATTTTTTTGATGAATTTCTTTAAGACCATTAATAATATCAAGCAATGCAGATAATTTATCTTTCCAATTAAAATATTCATAATTTTTATTCATCCAATGATTAAAATTGCCTTCTTTTGCATATTGGAGAACCATAATATATTCTTTTGTATCTGGATTTTGAGATATTCCATATACATTAAGAATATTACTTTTTTTATTTATTGAGTATTCTTTGACCTATTAAATATAATTATAATAAACAATAATTATTATATTATACTTTATTTAACATATTCATTACTACAAATTATTAAAGAAATTTCATACCTCATTTAAAAATTTATTGGTAATATTTTGTGAATTATGCAAACATTTTAAGGCAATTAATCTATTTGGACTCCTTTTATATAATTTTTTATCTTTATCATATTCTAATGGACCATTTGTCCAATTTGCAGAGTATACTGTAGCAAATCCACCTTTATCTACTTTCTTAATATTATTAAACTGATTATATGGTATCCATTCAAATACTATATCACTATGATTATTTATTTGTAATTGCATTTCTTGAATAAGGTCATCAATTTTTTCATTTCCACTTGCCCATACCAGAACCAAAATATAGTTATTTGTATTTGGATTTTGAGATATTCCATATATATTACAAATAACTCCGTCAAATATATTTGATCTTGTTAAATAATTTTTAGTCTAAAAATAAACAATAGAGATAAATATTTATACTAAGTATTAGGAATATTTATTGAAATGACATACCTTATTTATTAGAGAGTCAACAGAATTTTGCGAGTTATACAAATATTTTAAAATAACTTCTTTATTTGAATCTCTTATATAACTTTCACCCCACATACCAATTTTTTTATATAATGGACCATCCTTCCATATTGCTGAATATACCATTAGAAGGTCATTTTTGCCTATCTCTTTAATTTCATTAAACTGATCATATGGTATCCACTCAAGCATTATATCATTACAGTTACTAATTTTTAATTGCATTTCTTGAATGAAATCATCAATTTTTTCATTTCCACTTGCCCAGATAAGAATCAAAATATAATCTCCTGTATTTGGATTTTGAGATATTCCATATAATGCTTGAAATGATTTATAATTTGTTGAATATTTTTTAGCCTAAATATAAATAAAAGAGATTGTAAATATATTGACTAAAAAACAAATTTAAATATTTGAAGAAATTTCATACTTCATTTATTAAAGAATCAATGGATTCTTGTGAATTATGTAGACATTTTAAAGCAACTTCTTTATTTGAATCTCTTGTATAATTACTCCAACTATACTTCTTGTATAATGGACCATCTTTCCATATTGCTGAATATACTGTTACAAGACTATTTTTACCTGTCTTTCTAATTTCACTAAACTGATTGTATGGTATCCATTCAAGTACTATATCATTATAGTTATTAATTTTTAATCGCCTTTCTTGAATGAAATCATCAATTTTCTTGTTTCCACTAATCCTATTTGACAAGTTTATAGTATTACTATGAACCAAAATATAATCTCCTGTATCTGGATTTTGAGATATTCCATATAATACTTGAAATGTTCCATGTTTTGTTGAATATTTTTTAGCCTAAATACAAATAAAAGAGATTGTAAATATATTATTTAAAATGCATTTTAATATTTAACAATTTCATACTTCATTTATTAAAGAATCAATAAATTCGTGTGAATTATATAAACATTTTAAAGCAACTTCTTTAACAGAATCTCTTGCATAACCAGTATTAGCAACAACATTATCATCATCATAATAATCCAACAACTTGTATAAAGGACCATCCTTCCATATTGCTGAATATATTGTTACAGTATCACTTCTACCTGTCTCCTTAATTTTTCTAAACTTATTGTATGGAATCCATTCAAGCACTATATCTTCATAGTAATTAATTTTTAATTGCAATTTTTGAATGAAATCATCAATTTTTTCATTTCCACTGGTCCAATTTGTAAAATTGGTTTCTAAATGTTTTAGAATATTATTTTTTGCCAAAAATATATTTTGAGAAAGCATTGTTTTTAAAAACAAAAATTTTTTTCAAATAAAAATCTTATTTATAATAAACTATTTAGCGTACAAGTAACAGGTAACACAAAAAATTTGCATAAATTACCTATGCATTATGTAATGGAGCTTTTTAGTAATATTTGATGTCGATCATATCACAAAATTATTCAAAACAAAAATTTTTTCTGGTTAAATTTTTTATAACTTAATTACCCTAGTTATTTAATAAAAAAAAATTTGTATAAAGCACAAGTTAGTAAGCTTTTAAACATTATAATTTATTTAACTATCCTTTAAATTGTAAGGGTTAAAATTAATTTAATAATCTTTGAAGTTTTAAGAGCTCACATTATTACATTATTAAATTATTAACAATTTAATAATAAATATGGTGCGAACCCATTATTTTTGATTAGTAATTTGAAAACAAATAATGGGTATGCACCATTTTTTAATGGTTTAATAAAGAAATGACATGAACCATTTCTTGTTAAGTGATTTAGATAATAAAAAACAGGTTCACACTATTTAATTATTAAATCAATTAAAAACTGTGCAAACCTGTTATTTATTATTAAATTTTTTAATGAAAAACAGGTTCACACATTTATTTATTAAATCAATTTAAAACAGGAGTGAACCTATTATTTATTGTCAAATTGCTTAATAACAAATGGGTGAAACATTTTTTTAATAAAATAATGGTATTATTAGTTTCAAGTCAACAAGTTATTCAGGTTATATTGATGTTACAACCTGAACTGATGCCAAATTGCAATTGCTAAACAAATATAAATTGAGCAAAATAAGCAATAAAAATAAAGAAGAAGAAGAACTAAGAATAGAAGCAGAACCAATCAAAAAAGTTAATAGTGAAGAAGGAAACCGCTATCTAGGAATATTTTTTAGACACAATAACAAAAACCCAATAAAAAAAAAAATTCAGAATTTGTCCTAAAAAGTATGGAAAATGTCTGGAAATTTTCCATCTATCCAGAAATAGAGCTCTGCACGGGTTGGGTCAGGTCGGGTTACCTGGTTAACCTGAACCAAAATTTTTTTCAGGTCAGGTCAGGTCGGGTAAACCGTTCTGACCCGACCCAACCCATTTGACCTGAAAGTATTCAGGTCACTTCGGGTAACTCAGGTTACCTGAAGTTTTATTATTAAATATTGTAAAAAAATGGGTTGTAACGTTTTTTACTATTTGTTTTTATATATAAAATGCCAAAACTATTTGTTTCAGCATTTTTCCTTTTGATTTTACATGTAAAAACACCAAAACTGATAGTTTCAGCATTTTTTTTCAATTTTACATGTAAAAGCGCTGGAATAATTAGTTCTGGCATTTTTCTTTTTAATTTTACATGTAAAAATGCTGAAACTGAGTTTCAGCATTTTTTTTCAATTTTACATGTAAAAGCACCGGAATAATTAGTTCCAGCATTTTCTTTTTGATTTTACATGTAAAAATGCTGAAACTGATATTTTCAGCATTTTTTTTTCAATTTTACATGTAAAAGCGCTGGAATAATTAGTTCCAGCATTTTTATTTTGATTTTACATGTAAAAATACTGATACTGATAGTTTCGGTGTTTTTTTTTGATTTTACATGTAAAAGCACCAGAATAATTAGTTCTAACGTTTTTATTTTGATTTTACATGTAAAAATACTAAAACTGATAGGTTTGGCATTTTTTTTTCGATTTTACATGTAAAAGCGATGGAATAATAATTAGTTCCAGCATTTTTCTTTTTGATTTTACATGTAAAAATGCCAAAACTGATAGTTTCAATATTTTTTTCGATTGTACATGTAAAAATGCCAGAATCATTAGTCCTTTTTGATTTTACATATAAAAAATGCCAAAACTATCAGTTTCGGCATTTTTTTTCAATTTTACATGTAAAAATGCCAGAATCATTATTAGTTTCAGCGTTTTTAATTAATTTGACCCAAATATATGTCGGGTCAATGGGTTGGGTTGGGTACCGACCAGCACTGACCCGACCCGTGCAGGTCATGAATTTGATGACCTGACCTGAATATTTCAGGTCAACCCGTTGGGTCACCCGATCTGTCGGGTCAGTTTGCGGGCTCTATCTGGAAAACATTTGGAAACGGTCATATTTTGGAAAATTTTCTGGACACTTGATTCTGGACAAATTCTGGACAAATTCTGGAGTATCAAGAAAATGTCTGGAATTTGTGCATCTGGAAAGTGTTCCAAAACGTGATCGCTTCTGGACATTTTCTGGACATTTTCCTGATACACAAAAATTTTCTGGACATTTCGTGACATTTTCCGGATATTCTTTTTTTATAGGAAAGAGAAATTTATAAAGACAAAATAGCTATGATAATTGATAGTGCATGTAATATTTTTAATTGGAAAAAATTAAACGAAAAACAGATAATAGCAGTTTGGACCATAGTAATTATACCAAGAATTAAATATCAATTAGCAGCTATAGTTTTAAACAAAATGGAATGTATAAGTATAATGGCAAGATTAAACGTGATAATTAAAAAGAGAGCTGGCTTGATGAAAACAACACCAAATTTTGTTTTATATGAGAAAGAAATCTATGGAGTGAAACATATATATGATTTACAATTTGAAATGCTATGCAAAAATTAGTTACTTTATCAAGCGAATGGAAATAAAAAATTGAAAAAACTTTTCGCAATAAAAATGTCTTAAGAACAGAAAAACATTTGGACTTCAAAATGCTCAAGTGAAATGAATATAAAGATAAAATGATGAAGACATTTATCTTTGTAATCATAAAATAATAAATAAAAATGATAACCATCAAATCAAAAGATGTAAAATAGATTTAATAGATTTAATAAATGAAAAAAATATAATTAAATCTGTAATATCAAGGAAAATAAGAATATCATGTTTTTAGAAAATATTCTGGAAGCAGACAGAATGACACTTATAAAATGGAAACACCTATGTAAAGAAAAAGGTGTAAGTACAAAAGGCAAAATACCTCTTTAATTTAAAGATGTGTAAAGGGCAATTTTAGAAGATAGTAATAAAAACATTTGAAAGATTAAAAATGAATATATTAGACAAGCAGAAAAAAATAAAATTCATATAAAATATTTTGACGAAAATGAAAAACCAATTAGGAATAGTATAATAACATGAATAGTGACAGTTTTCCAATTTTTAGTGAAGATAAAAAAAGATCAAAAAGCAAAACTTATAAAAGGATAGGATTGCATTTAATCTTAAGTACAGATGCAGGAGAATTAGATTTAAATAATTCACCATTTTTGAAGAAATGCAAAGGATGTGATAAAAAATATTAGTAGGAAAAAAAATGCAAAAGAATTTTTGATTTATATAGAAAATGAAAATAGTAGAATAATAGAAAGAAGAAAAGAAGAAGATGCAATTAAACCTTTTGAAATGTTAAATAATATAATGTTAAAAAATGAATGGTTAAATAAATATAGTAAAGAAGAAAGAAAAGATAAGGCATATAATGAAAGAATTGAGATGATGGACAATTTAATTTAATCTGATAAAGATTTTATGTATATTTGAGAACAACGATATTATGGAAAAAAAGAAAAATTTTTTTGCATGATAGACGTATTAAAAATTAAAAGTATCATAAATGACAAAGAAAGAACATATTTTTATAATATAATATGGATAATTAAAGAAATAGACCAATATTCCAGAAATAACGAATTAATGATAATGAAATATGAATGTACTAATGAAAATGAATTTAAAATCTTAATCAGAGCGATTATTATAGGTTTTTTGATGATAAGTGATTATAGCAAAATTATTCTGGAAGTTAATGAATATGTTTAAGAATTTTACATGAATTCATTAAAAATTTAAGTAAGAGAAGGAAAATTGATAATGAATTTTATATTGAGTTATTATATATAGACCAATTTATAAAAAATAATAATATAGATATAATTGATGAAAATGACCGAGAATATAGAGAAATATTAGATCTAAAAAAGAAAATGAGAAAATTATTGAACGATAAAAAAATTTCACAAATGATAGAACATCATTTTGAATTAGTTGAATCAGCACTTTTAACTAATGATTATAATTTGATTTGGAAGAAATGGATTATAACAGAAGGTTTTTGGCAATGGTCAATGGAGAAAGAAAATCACAGATGCGATATGGAAAAATGAAATCCTAAATAGTGAAAAACTGAATGATTTATTTATGTATAATTTCAAAAAAGAATTTGATTGGCAATCAACTCTTGAATTTATAAGTAATCAAATCAACTTCACATTAAAGCAATGTAATCAGCAGTGGTGAAAGTTCACTTTCTTAATAATAAGGTGTCATTCCTAGTGATAGTTTGGCAAAGTTTCCCTTTTTACCTAGGTTTTTACTCCTTCAGGTTGGTTTTTTGCCTTCTGCTTTTTGGAGTTTTTCTGGAGGGTAGGCAAAATTGATCGATATCAGGTGATTTGTAGCTCTTTTCTTTTGAAAGAGTTGGGCATAATTTAAGGAGGAGTGCAGATATTGCTGATCAGAGGGGAGGAGGTGGCATGTGTTTGGACTATCATGGGTTTTTTACTTAGACTAAAAGTACACAGTTTGTCTATTAGTTTAGGCTTCCTTTGATGGTGGAATTGTGATATGATGCCTATTAGTTTAGGCTTGCATAGTTTATTAACTCTGGTAATATAGTCACTTGGTGAATTTATTTTTATCAACCAGTGTGGGGGATTTTTATCAACCAAGGGCTGGCAGTTTTGGTTCTGATAATCTGTGGGGTACAGGCTTTATTTCACCTAGTCTCATTAACTGGCATGTCAGAGGTAGTGGTCTTATCTGGGTTTTTGTGCCTGTGGGATGGTGATTTGTTTCCATAGACTTCACAACAGTGCCTTCTTCCTAATAAGTATCCACCAGTTTGAGTAGATTATTTTCACACTGTTGTATATTAGTATTTTTGTCAATTTTGACTTATATGTATTTTCTACTTAAATTCGCGTTGTTAACCAATTTGGTATGTTGAATAGATTAACTATGATTTGCAGTCAGGGAGATTAAGTACGTTTAACTATGACTGAAATCCAATCAAACAAGACATGCTTAAGGTAGTGAGTTCATTTATAGTGTAAAAGGTTATACTTTATTATAGAACTTTATAATTACAAGAATAAGAACTAAAGGAACTAAAGTGAACTGAAGGAACTTCCCTTATAATGAAGGAAAATACCAATGTTATTTATATAAAAGTTACTACATATAAAGATATAATAAATATAATAGATATAATAAATATAAGAAATATAACTAATATAATAAATATAATAAATAAATCAAATAAAATAATTATATCGATTATATTAAATATAATTAATATAATAAATATAATAAAAATAATAGGCTAAGTAGGCTGCGGCTAGGTCGGCTTGGCACAGTTGGGCACAGTAGATCCTAATTTTCCACATGATCTTCTGGTGTAGTAAATTGTAACTCTACACGTGACTAGGGGTAACAGCGTCCATATTAGATATCTAACTGGAACCCATTAATAAAAATAAGAATAAAGATAAAAACTAGTTCACATCACGATCATCACGTCTTTAATTACTGTATAAACAAAATATCTTTTAAAAAAATTTATCCATATAATTAAGTTATAGCTAGATTACCCTTTATAAATTAATTTTGAGCATGTCTCTGCCAAATTTCCATCTGGAATTATAGCCAAAATAATTTTGATCTTAATGAACACAAATCATTTTGTTGGCTATATGACCTTTTTGTTCATTAGGTTAGTATAATGAACGTTGGATCATTTTTAACTAATGATTCATTATCAATGTAACTAAATCGGATGATTAAAGAAAAGGGGCAAGTTATGATAGAATTTAATAAATATAAAGAATTTAATATTTTTGTTCATACTACAGCTTATATATTTTATCAGTTCAAAACATTTAGTTAACAAATCTAACAATTCAAAATTTTAGAAGTCATTGAATCTTTAGCCAGTTATATAAAAATTTATTCAAAAAAAAAAAATCAAATATTTGATATTATGAGTAACTCAGTATATAGTAGTAAATTTACGGTTGCAACAATATTGCTATAAAATATTAATTTATTTTATATTTTGGAAAAAACAATTGATACCATAAAATACCGTAAATTGTTAAATCAAATTTAAAAAAAAGTAAAATTATTAACTAAAATTTTCCAAAAATTTAAAATTCAGCTGGTTGGACCCAACTGTTACAGTTGTCATTGAAAAGAATTAGGTACAATTTTTTTTTAAATAAATACTAGTATTATTAAAGTAGAAAATTTTCTGAATAATTATTTGGCACATTTAACTTTTTCCCTTCCCGCTTCACAAAAGCGTTTCTTATATAATTGTTAACGATTACATCATTGTTAATATTATAAATTTTTATAAAGAAAGTTAAGAAACCAAAAAAAATAACAATCTGAAATGATTTCATTCCAGGAATTACCACCAAAATTACCACTTCATATATTACAAATAATTTTTGAAAGGATAGAAAGGAAATTTTTTATATTTTTAATATTTTTAATATTTTTAATCTTTAGAGGAAATTTTTATAAGTTAGTATGATCGTATTTTAAGATCTTAAATATTTTCAGTTTTTTTAAATTTGGACTGCTGTATTTTTCACTTTGATTGTATATATTCAAACTCGTGATTAATAATAAAACTAGGATAGTGTAATACTAAGAAAATAATTGAGTGAATCAAACCAAAACTTAAAGTCAAAAATTGATTCACTTTCCAAGATAAATAAATATCTAAAGATCATATTTATGAAATTGACGGTAACTTACCAAAAATCATAAATTCCACAATAAATAAATATTCTAATAACTAGATATCAGGATAAGTTATAACAATGGTTTTATTAATAAATTAAAATTATTATTTTGAATAAAAATCACTGTTATTATCTTAAAAAAAATTTTTTTTTTTTTTTTACTACGAACGTTAAAATTCTTGCTGACAGAATTAAGTACAGTAAATGTAGTATCTAATATAAAAATATGGTGATAAAAGAGGAAAAATATAATACATTGTTCCCACTTAAAAAAAATATACTAATTTTGTAATTATACATTCGCGACCTAAATGAAAAGTAAATACTTGGATAATTCATGGCTAATTTCCCTGAATATTATCGTAGTATAGAAAATAAAAGTCTAAAAGATTCGTTTAGGTATTAGTCACGTGTAATAAATTTTATTGAATGATTATCACGGGATTCAAAATAAGGTAAAATGCAATATTATTACGAAAATGATATTGCTAAAGATTTGCATAATATGACTCTAAAAAAATCACTTCATTTAAAATTCTAGAACTTTAATGATTAAATAATTTCCATTCATGAAATAAATCGTCTGACTTTTCGAGTAAAGATGAGCTTAATTCAAAAAGCTTAAGATACACCATGTAAGGATGTCAATGACCCTTCGAAATTCTTTAAAATAATATCCTTTTTTTTTTAAAACAAAAAAAAATGATGAATAATTCTACGAAACTACTTGAACGATACAAATTCTTCTAATCGGATACGAACAAAATTAAGTTTATATTCTTTTTCAAAATAAAATTAAACCAATGGATAATTAAACGAAGAGAATATAAAACCTTCTTGAAATCCTTTATTAAATAATGAAGATTGAATTTTGGAATTGGTGAAATACGTTCACTTACTTTTGACTGATGTAGTACTAGTTACGTAATGATAATAGAAATTAAAATGCGTATCAGTGTTTATCTCGATACAATTATTACTACTGCGCCATCAGCTAACCAAAAAAAAAATAATAATATCAGATTTATATAAAAAAAAATTAAAATATAAAAAAGATTAATCAAAATTTAAGTTGTTACTTAATTACATTTATCAGTTCTATATATCAGAAAGTGAGATAATTTAAAACTTGTGAAAAATCAAGAATTTATATTAAAGTTTGCTATTTCGTTTAATATATTATAAATTTGAAAACTTAAATATTTTTATTTTATTTTCTAAAAAAAAAAAAACTTATCATTATTACTAGTAGGGAATTGAGTCATATTGTCCAAAACTTAAGGTTTATCACGTGCTTTTCTACTGAGAATAAAGTACCATAATTATTACTATAAAATTCTCTATTACCCAATAAATTTTTCATTAATTAAATTTTTCTATTAGGACGCATTATAAATTATAACTGTATTATAAATCAGAAAGCAAATATTTAACAAATTTAAATAATTACGTAAAATATGTTACAAATAAACGCTAATTTTGCATTGATCGTCAAAAATTGGAAATTGTGCAACTAGTCTATTTTATTAATAATATAAGGAACATCATTATTAAGCACCACGTTGTACAATTGATGTAATAATTCAAAACAAATATGACGTCTATCTGCATTGCAAATTTCCTAAAAAAAAAAAAATTATCGAGATCTAAATTAACAATGCGCTATTAATGTTTTTACTATTATTAATAATTGAATAATTTTAATAAAACGATCAGAAAAAAATTTTTCTTTATTAATATGACGGCATTAATGTTTGATTAACTGAAACTAGTCCTAAACTGGAGAACACTATTGACATAAATACCAAGATTTATTAGTAATATTCGATCTGCGAATGAAACCTTAAATTATCAAGCATTTTTGTAAAAAATTAAGACACGGATTATTCGTTGAATGAAATTTCCATAATGAGTTTACTATCTATGGGGGAGGTACTTATAAAAGAAATCAAAATTTTCAAACTTAGCCAACTGTGAAATTTTCAAACTATTAACAGACTATCAAATAATAAACTTTTTTATTTTTTAAAAAAAAAACAAATAAAAAACAATGCCGGTCAAATTAAATAACAATTACGATTTATCAAATAACGTTATAATACTTACTGGTGCAACTGATGGTAAATAAATTTAACTTATACAATTCCACTTCAAATAATTCAATCACTTACATTTTATATTATTTAAGGCATCGGTAAAGATATGGCAAGAATTTTAGCTGGATTTAATCCAAAACGATTGGTTTTACCAGTTCGTAATAAAGAAAAAGCAAACGATGTATTGGAATATATTAAATCTTCTAATGGACATGCAAAAAATGTTGAAGTTTGGGAAATGGATTTAGCAGATTTACAAAGCGTAAAAAACTTTGCTAATAAATTCATCAAAGAAGTTGGAGAATTACATATGTTACTAAATAATGCAGGTAAATTAAAAAAATGATGATTTAGTTTCTGTATTTATCTATTCAACGTATCTTTCACCGTAGGAGTAATGTCTAGCAATCAAGTTATTAAAACAAAGGATAACCTTGAAATACAATTTCAGGTAAATTTACAATTATTTTTTTTATCTACATCGTTTGTACAGCATTCGCTTTATAACATTTATATTTTATATATTATTACAGGTCAACCATTTAGCGCCATTTTTACTCACTTTATTGTTATTGGATACAATAAAAAAATCGGTTTCCGCTGAATTACCCGGAAAAATTACATTTACTAGCTCATCTGCTCATTTCAATGGTGAGATTGACTTTGACAACTTACATCTCGAAAAACGTTCTAGCTATTGGAATCCTGTTAAAGGAAATTACGCAAATACTAAATTGATGGTAAGAATTTCATTTATTGGTATGTATTTTATTCAATGATAAAGGCTTTAAATATTTATAATTTTCTTCTTTTTCTTTTTCTTTTTTTTTTTTAAAAAAAAAAGAATGTTATTGTTGCCAGGGAACTAAGTCGTATTGTTCAAAACGAAAGTATGTATAATAAAAATATGAAGAAAAACTCATTTTTTACTAGCATGTTCTGTAACTTTCTTTTTTTAATTATGTAGATATTAGAACGTATTCGCTTCATCCTGGTGTAATTAGTACAAATATAAACCATATGAATAACAGTTATACAACTGCTTTTGTAAATTTATTAGTAATGATGTTTGAAATATCAGCTGAACAAGGTGCCATTAATACTCTTTATCCTGTACTTTCTCCCGAAAATAAAGAAACGGGAGAGTACTATAACGAAGGAATTAAACAGGGGCCAAATAAAGTTGCAAATGATCAAGAAGTTGCAAATAAATTGTGGAAAGTTTCTGAACAATTATTAAGAGAACGTGGGTTGATTTAAACATCAAGTTTTCTTTGGTTTTTTTGTAATAATTTTTTTGTATTACACAGTAAATTTTAAATATATAAATTTAAATATTTTTTTTAATATGAGTTAACTTATTATAAATATTGTATGTATTTTTAAAGAATAGTATAAAAAATAAATTCTTTATTCGATAATATTGAATACCTCATTATTCGCGTGTTTATATATATAATTTATATCAAATCATTAGTCGCGTGGAATGTACTCTATAAAAATTTTTCGAGGTTTTTATTCTGAAAATCTCGGACAGTGATCAATTTTTAAAGTAAAGCCTTAATTCGTTACGTTTGAATAATACCTGAATGAACAAAATTATAATTTTACATTTTCGAATAAATTAACTGAGCTTTATGTTCATGTTTATTTAGTAATAGACCTACTATCCGAACATCGCTAAAAAATATGTTCAAGCTAAAGATATTAATGGAAATTGTTAAATTGATTGATGAATTTGAAGCTGCCGTTCAATTTCTGCAATTTCATTTAATTATTTTCTTTTGCTGCAGGTGATAATGATGAGAATATTGAATAGATAAATACAGATCAACCCTTTCAACTATTTAAATTTTTTTTTTAAAAAATTTACTTATTGTATATTATCTAAAATTAGAAATGGATCAAAAAGAAAATAAAAGATGCAGATATTCTTTATTTTGAACATAGCGAATTTAAAGACGTTGAAGAAATTGGTAAAGGAGGATTTGGTGCTGTAAATAGGGTGGTAACTAATGATGGAATGCAAAGTTGCACTTAAAAGCATTATCGAGAAGAAAACTTCAAAACTTAAAGATGATGATATTAAAAATTTTTGTAAATGAGGTAAAAAATTTATTTTTGTTCAATTTACTGTATATAAAGTTAAAATTTAACATATTATGCTCATTTCATTCTTTGTTCAGATAAAACTTGTTCGTATGATTTGTTTTCATTAAAATGTCAATAGCTTTCTTGGAATATCAAAGGATTATTAAAAATTTTATTAATAATTTAACATTTAACAACTTAAATTTCATTAATCTATTTAAATGAATAGATGATATTGGGAATTATATTATGGTATTGGAATATGCCAATAAAAGAAATTTAAGAGACTATTTGATAAATCAAAAAATGGAGAGATTTAAGGAAGAAAGATTCATTAGAATGGAAGGATAAGATTCTTATGGCATTGGATGTTACTTGTGGATTAAATGTTTACAATCCAAAGACATAATTCATAGAAACGATAAACCAATAATTTTATAATACATTTAATATTTAACGTATCGTTTCTTTAAATAATATTAATAATTATCACACAAAAAACATATTAGTGAATGATGGTGGATTATTAATTACAGACTTTGGATTATCTGGAATTACATCTAGTTCAGTAGCTACTAGGATGAGAATGATTGAATATATTGAACCACAATGTATAAGAACATAAACTATAAAGAGACAAAAAATCTGATGATTATAGTTTAGGTGTTCTATTTAGGGAATTACAAGTGGACGTCCTTCTTTTTTCAAAAAGTATCTTTGCATTATGTCGTCGCATTTGTGGTGGATATAGAGAAGAACCAGTTGAAGGTACGCTTTTAGAGTATAGTCAACTTCATCAAAAATGCTGGGATGGAAGTACGACTATCTCTCGTGGAATCGAAATCGCAACCTGTATATTTCATAGGTCTCAACTTCACGAAAATTAAAACTTCTCATATATTACTTGTTGGGTGGCAGCACATCAATTTTAGAACAACTTAGCAGAATGTTTAATGATGAATTTAAGGTTGTAGACCAAATTTTGTAACCTGTTGATTGCGAATTAAATGAAAATAGAACGTAACGAGTCAAACGGTAAAAAAAAGTCAGAACGACATGATGGTAGTAATAATTAATAATAATAATAATGACGGTAGTGCTGATGATGATGATGATGATGATGATGATGGTGATGGTGATGGTGATGATGATGGTGATCGTAGTAGTGGAGATAAGTGCAAAACTGATATAAAATTCTCTTCTATAGCATTTTCCGAATGTGAAGAATATTTTCAAAATTTGTAATCCGTGTTCGTTTAATGCAAAAAATTGATAATATGCTGATTCTAGACGAAAGAGGTACAACATATACACGCTATAAATAATCGGAATATTCATATCCGTATCCGAGAATATATTATATCAGGTGGGTTGTTCACGAGTAGAGAAGGGGAGGAAATGTCGAAACCATTGTGCTTGAATTCTGAGGAGTGAGGACAACATTTCTCTGTAATAACCCATCCCGTCATCCGAATAAATTATCTAGTTTTAGGAATCATTTTTATTACATTTAATAAAAATAAATAAAACTATTGTTATTTTTATAATGGATGTCAATAAAACCCTAATAAAAACTCTATTAAACATAATGATAATGATAAATGGATATTTATTAATATATTCATTGACCAATTACTTTGGATATTTCTTTCTGGTCATTTAACCATTTAAAGGATCATCATTTGCCATTTGATTTTGATTGGTTGATATCTTATCACATGATTTAATTGAAATTATACCCTGAATAGTCCGATTCTAGTAAAATTTTATTTATCGTTATTCCTAGATATAATTAGTACTTATCTAATATTGTATTACACACATTCAAATAAATTCCCTTATAATGAATGTATTGAATGTTGTGTACTTTTCCTTGAAAATAATTTGTTTCTGAATAATTTATTACTTATAAAAAATAAATTAAAATCTACAATAGTTATTTTAGCTTTTTTTTAAGTTGCCATAGTTCCTGACAGGGCGTTCTAAATTGTTCAATAGAAAATTTTTTTTTATGTCCTTTATTTAATAAAAAAATCTTAGATAATTAATTTTGAGAAAAAAATTCTCATATATAAATAAATTAATAATTTGTTTGTTTTATTGTACTTTTTTAATTGTTTAGATTATTGAAAAAAATCTTTCGTAACTGTATGTTGATCATATGACTTCTGACCAAAAAAAAAATCTTAATTTTTTTTTTATCGCCGCAGTGTGTAAAATCCATGCGCACAATGTGCTAGTGATTGTATCCGGATTCAGCATATCCGGTTAAGCTAAAGGATATCCGATAAAAATGGATATCCGGATAAATTTTTTTTTTAGTTGACGGGTATCCGGATGATTATCACGTGATCCGGATACACTCCGTTTCACCCGTTTACCAATTAAATTTTTTGGATTGCATTAGCTTGTGACTTAATTCTTACTTATACTCAAACTTTATTAAACTCGTGTTTAAGTCCGTGACTGATTTCTTTTTTTAACTCTTACTAAACAATAATACTAATTAAATTACTTGGCTTTAAAATTCATACAATTGATACATGTTATTGACGGATTATTTTCAGATATCCGCTAATAAACTCATTAAAAAATCCTTTAGCAATCCGCGAAATTAACGGATTTATCCGGATACTATTCGGATGCTATCCGGTTTATTTAAACCAGATATCCGGATATGAAAATCCTTAACGGTGACGGATTTTTTTATCCGGATACCTAGCGGATACAATCATAGTGCACATTTTCGTACATAAAAAATTTTATTCTGTGCACAAAAAAATAATGGTGCACAATTCTGTGTACAAAAAATTTGATATACATCGTATATATATTCGTATTACATCGATGCATATTTAACATTATACAAATAAGCAATAATTGATAACGTTATGGTAAACTAATTTTTCTTTAACTTTTTTAAGCGTAATAAGAATGGAAGATATCATAAAATATCTAAATGATTATACTCCTCAAGAGAAAAAAACTAACCAACCAACAAAAAAAAAGAAGTCGAAATGATAAAATTACAGAGGTTATTCAAATTAGTGATGTTGAAGATAATGAAATTAATAGTGAAGAAGAAGAATTAAATGAGGTTATTAATACGAAAATAAAAAAATAAAAATAAATATGTGAAACGGGTCATGGAAAATTTATCGGTACAAGTTCTATAAAAAATTTTTATCCGAATATTTCCATTATTTTTGTGAAAAGGATACATTCACGGATACCCATGTTAGAAAGAAGAAATTTCCATGATTTAAGGCAATAAATCCATGAAAATGATTCACGGAAAAAACATGGAAATATAAAACACGGATCCAGGAGGTAATTAACGGTACATAGGATATCGATAAATAGGTATATAGAGGTCTGACCATATAACTGAATTAGACCATGAATTAGTAACAAATTTAGAATTTAGATTACCTCGATTTGAAATTCTTGAAGATGCTGTTAGATCATTTCATACACAATTTAGAAAAGTACAATGCACACTAAGAGTGACAATTAATCATAAACCAAGATGGAAGAAAAGTTCAATTAATTCAATTGAAATTTTTGGTTCCATTATCTATGTAGATTGTAACAGCTGTGTAAGGTCCCTAAATCTTGACAAGCAATCTTACCTCAAACATTTTTTGATGTAACTAGTGAAGCTTTGATAAAATTAAAATTAATGTCTCAAGATACCTACGTGTACATAAAATTAGTTTGTATTTAAAGCCTTTATTTTTTCAATTTCGCAGACGGATGACCGAAGAATGACAAGACTCCCAACTGGTATTGATGACTCCCATGGGTGGTAATACAATATGCTTTGATAAAGATTCCTTCAATGTTCCTCCGATAAAACAAAGAATATTTCACATGTCAATTAGAAAGCAAATCCAAATTAAAGTTATTTTAAACGGTTACGTTGTAATGTTATAATAACACGAAACAAATAAATTTCTTGGATAGTAAATCCGCGACCGACAAAAAAAATCCTATGGATTACTTTCTGGCTCCAAATTTAAATAATTAGAATATCCTTTTTAATAACTAACAAGAGAAACTAATAGAAAAATATATTTGGCGATGAAATATATTATACTTTTTCATTTTTTTGCCTTCCTTGGTTTCCTCAGCTTTTTTTAGTTTTTTTTTCCTTGTCTTTTCCTTTATAATACCAATATTTAT